AGTTTTATTCAAGAATGTTCCTCAATACAAATGTATACAAATGTATTTAGAGATCTGAGCCACCGGCTCATACATGACTATGTGGCGAACATTCATTTTCATGTGCATTATAGTTTACAAGGTCTAGTCTGCATTGATTTATTGCATTCATGCTGAAACTGGGAGGGGTTCTCTGGGTATGAACAAAGATATAAACATTTCTTGAAATCAAAACATTTGAGAACGGACAAAAGAAAGGATCTGAGAACCTGATCTTAGATTCTCTTTTCTTTTTCTTCTCTAATTTTCTCTTTATTTCACCTGATGCATTTAGTTTTTTTAGCGCAGCTCTTAGCGCCCGTTTCCGCGTTTTGCGGCGTCGCTGTCGGCGTAACCGCCCAACTAAACTTGGCAGGAAATTGAATTAATGTTGCGGTCATGTGACGTTAATATTTCCGCTAAGTCTAGCTGAGAAACTGAATTTTTTATGGATGACATGACACGGTCATGCGACGTCATTTTCCCCGCTACTTTTAGCAGAAAAACTGCATTTGTGTTGAGGACAAGGTCTAGTCTGCATATATTTTTGCATTCATGCTGAAACTGGGAGGGGTTTCCGCGCTAAATTTAGTGGAAAACTTAACCCGCTAAATTCAGGGAAATTTCCCGCTAAATCGGAGGGGGCCGAAGAGTAGTAGGGGAGGGGGAGGAGGGGCATACCCTCCCATACTCCTCTTCAAGATCTGTGCTCTAATTTCACATTACAGAGTATTCTAAACGTCTCATATTTCATCTCATGTTTATTCAACTTTTATATTGCAGGTGCGCTTGCAGCACAAATCTGGGTTGTGCTGATCCTCTACGCACAAGTTAGGAACTCCTGAATGGCAAGAGTGGGAGTTTGGTCTGACAGCTCAAGGGACACCATTGTTCAGTATTGAATTTTTAATTATCTTCTTTTGAGCAAAGTTAAGCTTTGCTGCTTGCAGTTCTTCTAAAAATAAATACCTGCAACCAAATTTACCAGGTCACAACATTTTGCCTCTGCTCTTAGTGCTCCTGGTAAGCCTTGGATAAGAGCTTACTGGTGTGCAAACATCATGTTTGTTTGAAACCACTCACTGATGTAGAGACTCGCTGACCTCCAGCATTCCAATGAAACGCTGGATGTCCACAAGTCTTTCTTGAACAATGCAAGCGGGAAAGGAACCATACAATTGTATCGTATTGGGGGACATTCTAGAGAGTGTTTTTTTGTATGTTTTACAGACTTTAAAAAAGCCATGAAAGCTACATTTACGCGGTCTGTGCACGTGAGTTGCATGGCCAGGGCGGCATAGTATAAAAGACTAATTTGTAATGTTCAGTCGGGTTATTACAGAGATGTGCCAGACTTCTTTCAGAAAACTAGATGGAGGTTCATTCTAGCGTAGTTTTATCCCGCAAACCTAAATATCCCATTCGTTTTCCACAAAGATATAACTAAACGTGAGAAAACACAAAAAAAAACCTCCTACCAATAGTGACATCGTAAGAAGACCTTTCGGCCGCGAAGCGTTTGTCGCTTAAGGGCCGCGCGTCCAATCGCAAGTTTTCTAGGTATATTCTCTCGCATTGGCACCAGTCGGGACACATTTTTTTGCCCTTTTAAAAAATAGCACGTGCGTGCATAGCTTTGATAGGTGCTGAAGATGCGTGAGCAAAGATTCCGAAAGCTGCTTTTGTGACGTTGCTCTCCAGGGAAGTGCTTTCACAGCGCTTTAAAAATGACTCTATGCAGCCTCGATTCATAAAATTACCAAATAATTTTGATATTTGAGATTCTGGAGGTCATATGAAGAAGATTTAAAAGTGTTTTCTCAAATACAAAACCGCTTCAGCCTCTCTCTAAGTATAGTATGTTCCTGAAATTTTTAATCAGTGAAAATAGATTCATGGTTCCAATTAGAAACTTGCTAAGCGTCATCAAAACACACTAAATCAACTTTCAATGTGAAGATTTAAGACAAGAGAAGCATTTTATGGCGTTCTAAAAAAATGGTTAATTTGGACGCGTTTCCAGACTTCGGTTTCTTACCAGAGCGCATCTTTGCACCTGCGGTCCTGCTGCCCGGTGGCCGCAGTGCGAAGCCGACCCCTCGCCTCCCTCGTAGGATGGAGGGAAGCAAGGCGCACATGTGTTGCGCGTCTAAGCCCCTGGGGAACAGGAGTGTGGGCGCAGACATATGAGCTCTGATAAGAAACTGAAACCTAGAAACTCGTCCAAATAAAGCGTTTTTACAGAATGCGTAAAATGCTACCCCTGCATTATATCCTTCTAGAAAGAGTTGATTTTGTGGTTTTCAATGACTCAGCAAGTTTCTAATTGAAACCATATTTTCATTTTCACTAATTAAAAAGTTAATTGACAAATTGTATTTAATTATCTGAGTGATTGTTACGATTAGGTCCCTATACTATGTACACCTGGCCGTATAACTCGCCTGCACAAACCGCATTAATTTAGCTTTCACGACCTTTCTAAACATATACGTAAAGCTTAAAACTAAATCGCCCTGTACAACAGTGACAAGGCGAAACCAGCATGGTGGAGCCATACGGCTCCACCATGCTGGTATCGCCTTTTCGCTGGTATAGGATGTCCCATATTACGTTATGCATGTATGGTTCCGTCCGCCTCCATGGTTCCGCCATAATCCACTACGCTGGTATAGGATGTCCCATAATACGACACGCTTGTATGGTTCCGCCTACCTGTTTCATTCCGCCTTAATCCACTATACTGGAGCCGAGGTTTCGCTTGTATAGGATGTCCCATATTACGGTTATGCTTGTATGAGCCTTTTCCATCATCTTTCCATCATCGAAATTTTCCAATAGGGTACCGTAAATCTTGTCTTTTTCAGTACGAAGTTATTTTACCGAGACCGCAGTCCACAGCTGTCCTGGGTTACTTTGTATGATGTTACGTCAGAGCTTGCGCTGTGGCCTACAAAAAACGCTGTGTGATTTGCGGGTTCAATCTAATCAGTTGGGAACTGTTTCAAATTGAGGTACTTGTGGGGCAAAATATAAAAGAATTGGGATACTGTGACCATGATGTATCTAAAAGCAATGACAATATAATTTAATTGTTTTTGAAAGACAAAAGTTTACCGGACAATCTCTCTAAGTATATTTTTATGAAGACAGTTGAATCTTTCTGGTTATCTAAAATCAAGCATCGCGTAGCTCTCAATGTAAAACAAAACAGCGCAAGTTTAAAACCAGCTTCATACAAAATAGTGGGCTGAATGCGCACGCGCAGTAAGAAGGCTCGTAACTATGATGATACAAAAAACAGTCTGCATACAAAGTCGAACGCCAGTGACCGCGAGATCCGTGCTTCGAATGCCGTATGGCAATAAGTTCAAGGAGAAACTTGGGAACGCGGCATTTGAAGCACTGAAATTGCGATGCCTCGTGTTTGCAGAACGTCCTTTGTATGATGTATAAGCAGTGTGATCTCTGCTTTAGCCTCTAGGAAGAAACATACAAATTCAAGAACTTCACAAAAAACATTATTGCGACAGGTAATTTGTATTACTAGTTTAGATGTGCATATTCATGTGTTGAATCAATTGTGAGGCAAATCAGCGACAACGAATATTTCGCTGTACTTCGCTGACGATTTAATCAAAACCTTGGTCACACTATATATTTATGTTTTCATTACGTTGTATATTTACAGATGGTGCCGTGGATAGCCGACATCTTGTTGGAGGAATACGTTGCAGGATTGTTTGAAACGCCCGATAAGAATCTAACATAGAGGTACCTTAACGTGAAAGATATGACACACGAACATCTAACAAAGCACAACAGAGGCGTCATTTATCAGGCGTTGGGGCTGTTCCAAGCAAACGTAGCTCAGAGCTACCACCTTTCCACCACCCAGAAAAAATTAGCGCAGAGGACCGCGAGCCTGGCCAGATATACTTTTGAGCAAGAAACCTCATGAGTGGATGAAAACAAGTTTTTGAAATAATAATAAAAGTACTAGCGAGAGCGGTTCTAATCTTTAGTTTTTTGCAGTAAACGTTAAAAAATCCAAGAACATTTCGTTGACCCGTTGTAAACGGCCTTTTGTTTCTTGAGGCGAATTAAAATGTTCAAACCGTTACATCTTACACTAAAATAGTGATGACAAGGAATTCCCGCTTTACTCACTGACAATCTACGAAACGGAATGAGTCTTAAGTTGTCTTAAGTGACTATAGTTTCGTCATAATATAAAGTAAGCACTGCGAAGCACAAAGCGAAATAGAAATCAGAATAATAAAAAAGGACAAAGTTTCATTATGTATTTTTAAATTATTCTTCGACAAAAACATCGATTGAAGAGGTGGCAATAAGATGGTCCTAAACATTGGACACTAGACCGAAACTGGAATTGATTATAGTCGCGGAAACTCAAGAAACGTAGACGGAGCCTATTATACAATATCGCTATAAAGTTTCATAAAAGCTTGGATCTTATTATTACGAGCATGAAGGTAAAATCGCTACTTTTTTTTTTAAATTTTAAACTCGGACTCGCAGGGTCAAGCTCTGACCATAAACGTGGGTGGAACTATGATGTATTCATAATGAAGGAAGTAAAGGGGAGGGGACCGTATACAGGGTGTTATGGTAAGCTAGCAATTTCGCTCCCACAAAAAGTACGCATCGAACAATAACATTTTAATGTATTATTGTTTTATGGAAATGGGCAATAGCGTTTTATATTGTTAAGAAGAAAAAGAAGGGACGTTTTCGTGGTGAGACAAGAGAAGAAGAAGAGGCAGAGGCAACAAGCTTTGAATGATTGTAACCGTCATTTTGAGTCTTCACCTAATGTAAATAAATCATTGTATATATCTATCTTCGTCGTAACATTTTGGTGGAGGTGCGATCCGTCCATCTACCTCTCCGTCCCCATCAACCTGGAACTCCGGAGCCGACAGCTTCCCGTCTCATCTATGATAATGGCCTCCGGCAGCACGGCATCCGGCAGTACCCCACCGCAGGGCACACCGTCGCAACCCACGTCCCCTCTTATCATCGCCCACACTCGTGACCCTGGAAACTTCACCGGATCCGGGGATCAAGATGTAGAACAATGGATCCACCTATACGAAAGAATAAGCGTCCATAACAGGTGGGACCCAACTATCATGCTTGCAAACGTCATTTTCTATCTACAAGACACAGCCCGAACCTGGTTCCTCACCCACGAGGAAACTATTACGTCTTGGGACATGTGTAAGGAACAGCTGCAACATCTCTTTGGCGATCCTACTGCTCGAAGGCTCTCCGCGAAGCGCAAGCTTGCTTCACGTGTCCAAACGCCAACGGAATCCTATATTACGTACATTCAAGATATTCTTTCCCTTTGTCAGAAGGCTGATCCTGTCATGACTAACGCTGACAAAGTAACTCACATTCTTAAGGGTATTGCCGACAATGCATTCCAGTTGATTGTATTTAAAGATTGTGCCACAGTGGATGCTGTTATACAAGAGTGCAGGCGCTTCGAAGAGGCTAAAAAACGCCGGATCACAGCCAACTTCACACGCCTGCCCAACACGACACCAACATCCACCTGTGAGGATCCGCCTATATCCGAGAGCCAAATCATTCGGATAGTACGCCGTGAATTGGAAGCTATGCTGCCAACAGAGACCTCTGCTCTCCCTGCTGATTCAAGTAGTGCAGCAGTTCCAGTATCTGCCGTTCAAGCGCTGGTTCAACAAGAAATCCAGCGGCTCGTCCCTCCGGAACGACCAGACAGCCGACGTCTGCCTCCTCGTCCTCTCAACCACTTGCCATCCACCAATTCTATGAGTCCACAAAGGGATCCTAACGCATGGAGGACGTCAGATGACCGACCCGTCTGTTTTCACTGTCATGGAATCGGGCATATTGCTCGCTATTGTCGCCGCCGATTCAACGATGGACCGCGCATTTTCTCATCGACTGCCTACCGTCGTTCTTTTCAACGTCACTCCAGCCCATCAGCCAACCTCTACCCTCATCAAGATCACGAGCCCAGGTTGCCCACACGATACAGCCGTTCCCCCTCCCCCTATCTTCGCCGCTCACCCTCGCCCATGCCCCGTCGCTCAACATCCCCACCCACGACCACCGCATTTCGGGAAACTAAACCGTGCAGCCTCGCGAAGTGGGGCTGCATCAAAATTTGTGCCCATTAATCCTCTACAGGACGCTATAAGCAACACACAAAACGAACTTTTAGTTTCAGTCGACCACGTTCCTATATTGACGCTTGTAGATACCGGTGCCGCCATCTCCATTATGAGAGAAGATCTTAGACGCCAGCTTCACAAGGTTTTGACGCCCCCGGATCCTAAGCTCCTCCGGGGTGCAGACGGCCGCGCTATCTCACCTCTTGGAATGTGCAGCGCTCAAATTACCATAAACAGTGAAACCACTCGCGTTCTCTTCACCGTGATTTCCAATCGCCCCCATGCTATGATTCTAGGATGGGATTTTTTGTCGACGCACGCCGCCCTCATTGATTGCGCCACAGGAACCATTGCCCTCGACATTCCTACCTCAGCCCACACGTCTGAATCAATCGTTTCAAGATTATGCACCACTGGAAGTCATCGGATCCCGCCGCTTGCCGCCATTACCGTCGAACTTCACTCAAATCACTTTGTTGCCAATGGAGACTACGTTCTAACGCCTAACAAGGACATATTTCTCGCGAAACAGCTTGCCCTCCCGCACTGCATTGTTCCAATTGCCAATGGCCGCACCCGCGTATGGATAGCTAACTTTAGTTCCAGTACACAAGTATTGCCAAAAGGTGCTTCCTTAGCAACAAGCTCATCGCTAGACACGGCCGCAGTCTCCACTATTGCAGCAGACCTTTCACCCCCTTCTAATTCAACCCGCCCAGCTCCCCTAGACCCTTTCAACATACTCACCATGGTAGACTCCACGCTGGACCCTTCCGAACAACAGCGCCTTCAAGCTCTTCTATGGGAGTTCCATGACATCTTTGATTTTGACAACCGACCCCTTGGACAAACGACCCTTGCTACACACCGCATCAACACCGGCCACGCAACTCCCGTTCACCACAGACCTTACCGAATGTCAGCCAGCGAACGCCGAGTCATTCAACAAGAAGTTGTCACCATGCTTTCGAACGACATTGTTCGACCTTCCTCTAGCCCCGGGTCATCGCCCGTTGTATTGATTAAGAAAAAAGATGGATCATGGAGGTTCTGCGTCGACTACCGTCGCTTGAACAAAATCACAAAAAAGGACGCTTACCCACTCCCACGTATTGATGACACGCTGGATTGTTTGCACGGTGCCGAGTACTTTTCCACTATCGACCTACGCTCGGGGTATTGGCAAATTACAGTTGACGATTCAGATCGAGAAAAAACAGCATTTATTAAACCAGATGGCCTCTACGAATTTAAAGTTATGCCATTCGGCCTTTGCAATGCTCCCGCGACATTCGAGAGGATGATGGACCGCCTGCTTAAAGGTCTAAAATGGACGACCTGCCTATGTTACCTCGACGATGTAATTATTTTTTCAAGCACATTTTCCTCGCACCTGACGCGCCTGGCCCAAGCACTCCAACTTTTCCGTAACGCCGGCCTTCAATTAAACTCGTCCAAGTGCCACTTCGGCAGTCGTCAAATAAAAATTTTGGGTCATTTGGTGGATAAAACCGGCGTTCAACCAGACCCTGACAAAGTAGCAGCTGTACAGGACTTTCCAAGACCGAGGTGCACTAAGGATGTCCGTAGCTTTCTCGGATTGTCTTCATACTTCCGCCGTTTTATACACCATTTCGCACATACTGCTCGCCCACTTAACAACCTTCTGAAAAAAGGCACACCTTTTTTATGGCAATCGGACGAAGAACGAGCGTTTACATGCTTAAAGACCGCTCTAACAACCAGCCCCATTCTAGGTCATTTTGATGACTCCGCCCCGACTGAGCTACGCACAGATGCCAGTGGCCATGGGATTGGTGCTATTTTGGCTCAAATTCAATGTGGACACAACCGAGTAATTGCTTACGCTAGCCGCACGCTTTCTTCAGCCGAAAAAAATTACACGATCACCGAGCGGGAGTGTCTCGGTTGTGTGGGCAATAACAAAATTTCGGCCATACCTGTTTGGCCGCCAGTTTTCTGTAATCACTGACCATCACGCCCTGTGCTGGCTATCGTCTGTGAAAGATCCTGTCGGCCGCCTTGGACGATGGGCTCTTCGACTCCAAGAGTACGATTTCACCATAATCTATAAATCAGGGAAGCTCCATCAAGACGCCGACTGCCTATCCCGTTACCCCGTGGACTCTACTAGCCACATCAATGGAGACTCTGATATTCCCGTTCTTCCTATCTCGAACCTTCTGAACATTGCCCAGGAACAGAACCTTGATCCACTGCTGCACTCTATCATTTCAGATCTGAGAGATAACACCAATACGCCTTCTTCAAGTCTCTACTCTCTCCAAAATGGCGTTCTCTATCGACAAAATTTTCGACCCGACGGTTGTTCTTGGCTTCTGGTCATACCCAAGCACTTACAAACGTCTATTCTCGCCGAGCTGCATGACGCACCATCATCCGGTCACCTGGGTGTGGTCAGAACCTACGCCCGAGCGAAGCAACGATTTTACTGGACAAATATGTACAGAACAGTGAAGCGATACGTCACATCGTGTGACTCCTGCCAGCGCCGAAAAACACCCGCCTCCCGTCCTCCAGGATTTCTACAACCTCTGAATCCTCCTGAGCAGCCTTTTCACCGCATAGGAGTTGACCTTCTTGGTCCCTTCCCTACCTCCTCAATTGGTAATCGCTGGATAGCGGTCGCGATCGATCACACCACACGCTACGCAATCACAAGGCCCCTCCTGACCGGAACGGCAGTTGACGTCGCCCAATTCCTGCTCGAAGACATCATCCTCACGGAGCACCTCGTGAACTTTTGTCCGACCGTGGACGGCCCTTCATATCTCGCGTCGTAAGTGAAATCTTGAACCTCTGCTTCATTCTTCACAAAAAAACGACAGCCTACCATCCACAGACGAACGGCCTCGTAGAACGCCTTAATCGGACCCTTGCCGACATGCTCGCAATGTACGTTACCCACGAGCACAAAAATTGGGACGTTGCACTCCCTTACGTAACTTTCGCATATAGTTCCTCTCCTCATAACACAACCGGCTACTCTCCCTTCTATCTTCTTTTCGGTCATGAACCCCTCCTCATGTTGGACTCACTGCTTCCGCTACGCCCTGAAGCCTCACTTTCCGACTATGCATCGGACGCCATAGGCCGTGCTGAAGAGGCACGACCACTTGCACGCCTGCGAACTCTTGATTCTCAGGAACGGCAATGCGCCCGTTATGACAGCACTCACACTTTCGTCGCCTATTCACCAGGTGACCTGGTGAATAGGCGACGAACCTGGCTCTGGACCCCCCAGCGACAAGTCGGCCTTGCTCAGAAGCTACTACCTCGATATCGCGGTCCTTATAGGATCCTCAACCGAACAAGTGACGTCAATTATACAGTCGAACCCGTCGAACCTCCCCAAAATAACCGCCATCGTCATGTACAAACAGTTCACGTCCTCCGGCTCAAACCATACATCCCCCATTCAAACGGCGGGACGCCGTTTCCACCCGAGGGGAAGTGATGTTAAGAAGAAAAAGAAGGAACGTTTTCGTGGTGAGACAAGAGAAGAAGAAGAGGCAGAGGCAACGAGCTTTGAATGATTGTAACCGTCATTTTGAGTCTTCACCTAATGTAAATTAAATCATTGTATATATCTATATTCGTCGTAACAATATAATTAGGAGAAAAATATTTTGAGTTTGCGAACTTCGAGGTATGTTTCCAACATGTACCAAGCATTCAGGCTATCGTAAAAAAACAAATAAACCAGCACTCTTGTAAAGAAATGCCGTGCACCCGCAGATATACAGAGTTTTAAACATTTACTCGGTTTGGAAGCCTTTCATACTCAGTTTTGGTTTCCCTATCAAACGCATCTCCGCCCTATTGAAAATAAATCTAAAGAGCCCATCGGCATTGAAGGATTATGGGACCTCGCAGGCCTTTAAAACCCTTCAGAAACATCCTACAGAGAGTACCTTCAGGGATGCCCCACAGAAAAACCCTTCAGCCCATCAACCCGTCAGACCCTACAGCCCAAACCCCTTAGCCCATAAACCCTTTAGACGCACAAATGACTGTGAAATATAGATAAAAATGCAGTTCAAAACAGTATTGAAAATTAATTGCGGACATCTAGTTTTACCTGCATATTATAACTCAAATAGACGATGAAAACCAACGTTTGTTCAAACAAGGGTGCAAGCAGATGTAGACAAAAGAGACCATATTAAATAAGGACAATTGACTTCTTGATCACAAAGAAAAATATCGTTCAGAGTACTCACAATGCCGCTGAGTAAATTCCTGATGTGCGGTAATAAACCGATAATCTGCTCGGCTAATAAAACCGAGCAGGTGCACCTCACGGACACATACACAGTCTCAATAAGCACGTTTAGCGAAAACCACGAACTCGCAAGCAGCACCCGCCACCGTTGAGAAATCCTAAGCACAGTCGC